TAAAAGACGTGTAGATGAGGCGCTTAGGGACATGGTTTAGTGGGCATGGTGGTGTTGGGTTGACGGTTGGACTCGATGATCTTAGAGGTCCTTTCCAACCTCAATGATTCTATGATTCTATGATTCATAGTCTGAAGTGAGGGTTTTAAATTTATTTGTTACAAACTTTCAGAATTGGGAAGCTATCAGCTGCTTAATTTAAAAATCATTGAGTCATTAGGTTTACCTGTTCTATTTTCTTATTTTGTCTGCTTACTTTTAAAGTCTATAAATAAAAATAACCCAAGTCCAATTTTGTGCATTGATTTGCAGGAGTGACAAGTAACACCATTCAGCCTGCTCCTCAGAATATTCCTCTAGTCGATCCTTCCCTTTACAGTGCTCAGTCTGCAGGTAAGGTGGTGGCATTTGTATTGTCTCTACATGGATGTGCTGTGTCCTGTGTGTGTCTCCTGCACTGAAGGAAGAAGTTTGAGAAATAATGTCATTGTTATCTGAATGCTACTAATTCAGAAACTTTAAAAAGGATGGACATCATCTAAACATTGTGTTGCTAAGTGTTTAATAGTTTCTGAAAGCTTTGCTACAGTGTATGATTAGCGTTGTCTTATCTGACTTTTTTTGAACCAATGAGCTTGCATTGTGTTAGGCTTCTTATTATTTATGTTGTTGCTTCTCAGGTGAGGTTCTGATATACTTAGCAAAGCCTATATTCCTGATGACCTTGCTAAATTATATTTTTGGTAATTAATACACATTCCCTTTACTTAAAATTTCTTCTACAGGGTCAGTACATAAGTTATTTACTCACTTCATTAAATAATCATGACATTCCAGTGGTGTTTTCTGTTGCAGCGTAATTGTTATGTGTGCTTGTTGATTATAAGTAGCACCTTATAAATTATTTCACTTAATATGGTGCTGCTAATTATGTCATTTTGATGTATCATTTGATCAAGGCTTTTATCTTTTAAAATGCTAACTGTCTTTGATGTTAAAATCACTGATAACCTGTATGATGTGTATTTTATGTCTGCTCGCATATATCATGCTTTGAAGTGCACACATAAATGCTAAGCTTAGGGAAACTATGGCCTGTGAAAGAGTAGTGACTGACAAAGCTGGAATCCTCCTAGATTATAATTTGAACACTGATGTGCATTTGGACAAATTATTAACTGTTTTCTAGGAATTTTTCTGCCTGTGGAATAGAGAGAATAAAAAGATAAGTTACATCTGTTTGTAATAATCAGATTTTTGTTGGCAGTATAACATGGATGTTGAGTGAGGAGGAGGTCTAGAAGTCCTGGTATGAAATCTGTTCACATTCTACCCTACAGTTTATCCTCACCAGGGAAAGCTGATAGTATACGTAACTGATGTTTTAAGTTCCAGTACTAGATACAGTCAAATGTTGCCTGTTATGACTACCGAGTTTAGATAGGTATATTCTTGTGTATTGTAACATACAAATATTTAGTTAGATATTTTAGTTTATTGTGTTGTTGAAGAGGGTGTCCATGTTAAAATACCAGCTTTACTGAAAAAGCACTTGATTCAATGGAATGCTACAATAGGAATTCAGTATTTAGCTTGGTTTTAGTCTGCTGTCATAAGAACGTTTAAGGATGTGTCCATCTTAATATATTAGGAAGCTATTTTTATAGAAGATGTCTTAAAAAGATAAAAATAACAAAATTTACCTTTAATAGACACACACTAACCTTTAGTATTCTCTTGAAGAGCAAAAGGCGTATACTATTGTTTGTCTGGAATATTACTGTGACATAACTGTGACATTACATGTGACAGTTAACTCAGTTTATTGAAAACAATACCTCAGACATGTAGCTGAACCATTTAAACTTGGTGATAGTTTTTGAGTTTTGGGGGCTGTTGGGGGGGGGTCAGTAGCTCCTTAACCAAAACAGCTGAAGGCTTTACTGAAGCTTTACCTTAGTAACTGCTATTTGGAAAGCAGATTTTGTGGTATTCGGCAGCAAAGCTTTCATATTTAACCAGCTTATCATGATCCTCTAGACAGTCATTCTAATAGTTTTTTGGGTAACTACTCTGAAAATTTTAGTCATCATTGTTTCTTGGTTTGAATGTTTAATTCTAGTTGTCAAAAATGTCATAATTTTGATTTAAACTTTAATTCTTCATTAAGTATTAGAAGTTCCATTATTCGATATCTGGATAGTATCAGTGCATTACTCCCTTTAGCCACTTACCTGTGATAACCTGATTTAATAAGTACATAAATATAAATAAAAAGGAATTGAGTTAATTAAGATACCCTGTGTTTGTGAGGATTCATAATAACTACTATCCGGTAATTAAGAGACTATGACCCTTGCTAAGCACAGTGATGAATCTCTAACTTGATCTAACCTGAGTATTTGCGTGCCTGCATTCCTCCTCTGCACATCCGTTGTGTCACTACAAGTTTGGGTCTGGTAACAGCTTAAAGCGTTACATTCTTATGAGGGAGTTTTGCAAAGGTGCACCTGAAGAGGTGATACAGCTCATACCAATCCTCAGTTCTGAAAGCTTAGAAAATATGCTGTCAGTTATGCAGGAGTTTGAGAGGGCATAAGGGATATGTCAGTCAGCAGACACACAGTAACAGTTTTGTTTGCATGCATAGAATTAAGAAGCTTGAGAGCAATGGAAAGTGTTTGTCCTTGCCTGTCACCATCCTGTCATGCGTGCCTGGTCATTACCCAAAGCATCCTCCCTTCAGCTATACGCGTAAGAGTAACGGCAGATATCATTCTTCTCATGCTGCTGAGGAGTCCTTTTTATGCCAACAGTACTCTGTTCCACAGTAGCCTTGTTCCCTGACCTGTAAGTAGATTTAGAAATGCCTGTATCTCTCAGCGGACGTGAGTGAGTGAGTACTAAACTGTTGGTCCCAGGAGCCCTCCCCCGTTCCTGAATTGCAAAATTTATTTATTTATTTATTTATTTATTTTCAGGCTAGATCCTGGCTGCGTATTGAGGTTAGACTTCGGTATGCACCATTCCTATGAAGCTGAAGTTTCCTTTGGACGGGAAGGAGGGATCAGTGTTGCCCTCCAGTAGATCCATAGAGCTAGCACAGTGCAAAGTACACTCGCTCCACAATTTAGACATGATGTCTGTGTCTATACTAATAAATTAAACATGCCTGTAAATATTTGACACTGAGAACAACTGGCACAGAACCACTCACATCCATAATATTAAACTTTTAAACCTTCTAAACAAGGTAGTTTGTGAAGGCTGCCAATATTGAATGTTCTCTAGCCTGCTCTAACCACAAGTCGTGCCCAGGAATTGTTTGGGAAAAGTGCTAGTTTGCATGGGCCAAAACCATACTGGAGTCTGTTCCAGCAGTTTGACAGTGTAGACAGTCAACTTTGAGGGCTGAGATGCATTCCCTGGCACTGTTGAATGTACTAGTGTAGGCATAGCCAAACAGGATATTCCACATATTCCTGCAAGACTCTTTCTGGTAGTAAGATCAAATGTATATTTTTAAAATAAATTATGTATTTTCTTTCCTTCCCATAACATGGGAGAAGCAATTTGAATAATGCTATGATGGGAGAGAAACTTTTGGTGGTGAAGAGTGGAATATTTTATCAGAAGAAAATTAAGTTAACGTAACAGTATTCCTTTGATTTTAGTCAGCGTGAATCCTTCAATAATTGTCCTGTCCTGTGGGAACAGGTTTCAAGAGTTTAACATTGGCTTTTGAAAGTGTTAAAGCTTATGCAATTAAGCATTGGTTAATGTCTCTGACAACAGGAGGTAGAGCTACACAGCAACTTTGTATAACGTGTGCGTGCACTTCTCTGCTGTAGTTTGCTTAAAAAATTTATTGCCCCTAGATTTGCTAACACTAAATGCATTCATGGTTGTGCTACACAGTTTTTATAAAATCTTCTTACATTACCACATGCTCCCTTCCACAGGTGGCATAGTATAGAGAAACCATTTGTCCATTCTAGTTGTGTGTATAATATTGTTTGATTTTTCTACACACAAAGTAGAAATAATAATTTGACATTTTACATGTTTTCATGATCTTAAGAAGAAATCTTTGAGGATTTATATTTCGAATATCTTAAGTTCTTTAACGGGGAAAAAGAGCATGTTGTTTCAAAAATCATTTCACTTACCTTTGCCATCACTGTTTTTATACACCAAGTTGCATTATTAAAATGTTCTTAAATCAGCTGACTTGTATTTGGGCAACTTCATAAAAAGAAAAAATATCTGGTGGATAGAAAAGGATACCAGGGAGAAGCAGATACATCATGTAAAATACCCATTATTTTCATTGTAAAACTGCTTTTTTTTCCCAACATGATTTTCAGCATCTCTAGTCAAATTGCCTTTTGGTTTTGTGTTCCTCTTAAACTAAAAGAATCATGCTTGTTGACATTAGTTACGGCTTCCATATGTCTGTCACATTTCAGTTATAAATATAACTACTGTGCTAATAATTTCAGATTAACACAGAAGCAGGTTTGTTTCAGGATAAATGCAGTACACTTTTCCCACCTCAATGTTGTTGGGCTTTTTTAGAGCTCAGAATCACAGGATGGTTGAGGTTGGAGGAGACCTCTGGCGTTCATCTGGTCCAACCCCTCTGCTCAAGCAAGGGTCCTGTAAAATGGGTTGCTCAGGACCGTGTCCTTTGTGTCTTCCCCTGTCCCTGCACTCTCCCCATGGTTTAATTTGCAGCAATGAAGGAAGAAGGTTGAGAAAAAATGGCACTGTTAGTTCAAAAGACAGCTTTTGAATCTCTCCAAGGATGGAGACTCCACAACCTCCCCGGGCAACCTGTGCCAGTGCTCGGTCACCCTCACAGTAAAGAGTGTTTCCTGATGTTCAGACAGGGCCCTCCTGTGTTTCAGTTTGCGCCCATCACGTCTGGTCCTGTCACTGGGCACCACTGAGAAGAGCCTGGCTCTGTCCTCTGTGCCACCCTCCCTTCGGGTATTTATATACATTGATAAGATCCCCCTGAGCCTTCTTTTCTCCAGGCTGAACAGTCCCGGCTCTCTCAGCCTCTGCTCATACGAGAGGTGCTCCAGTCCCTTAATCATCTTTGTGGCCCTTTGCTGGACTCTCTCCAGGATATCAGTCTCTCTCTTGTACTGAGGAACCCAGAATTGGACACAGTACTCCAGGTGTGGCCTCACTAGCCCTGAATAAAGGGGAAGGATCACCTCCCTCCACCTGCTGGCAGCACTCCTCCTAATGCAGCCCAGGATGCCATTAGCCCTCTTTGCCACAAGGGCAGACTGTTGGCTCATGGACAAATTGCTGTCCGCCAGGACCCCCAGCTCCTTTTCTGCAAAGCTGCTTTCCTTTTCTCCAAAGCTGCTTAACTCTTAGAATATGTAAATTGAAGTCAGTTACTAACTTTTGTGGTTATACCTTTGATGTAAGTACAGACATTATAGTTAAGTTTCACATTATTTTGAGGACTTAAGAACACAGCTGTTTTATTTCTATTCTGTTTGTCCATTGTGAGGTGCTGACTTCAGTAGGAGCTGAGGCCACTGAGCACATCAAAAGATCAACACCCTTACTGTGTAAACTTTGGTTTATAAATTTGAAATTGTTAACTTTTTTCCCTCAAGTTATGTCATAATAGCATCTGAAGTAGATTTCATAATAAGTAAGGTTTTATGCCAGCAAAACATTAATAGAGCTCATACTGTAAAAATAAGATTAGACTGGTGAATTTAGGCCTCCTTCCAATAAATTAGTTGAATACTGGGCTGATGCCTTGGCCAGTTTTTAAAGAATGATTTTGTAGTTTCTTTTGGCATCATAGCATAAAGCCACTTTGAGGGGAACTTGGTCTTTTTAATTTCTTAAAGATGTTCAGTAATGTGGTCGCAGATTGACCCCAGCTGCTTTTAGTCTGTGACTTTATTTAGGTTACAAAATAGCCTAAGTGTGTGCCTGTGTTTATGCACTCCCTCACGCGTATTTACTCACGTGTATGTATTTTAAGAGATTTATTCAGCAGTAGACTAATACACATTGCAATGATAATGAGCCCACCAAGTTGTCATGTGCCTCAATATTCAACAGTTATTTTGTGGTTATATTTATTTATTGAAGGGAAAATAAGTAGACTTCTAGAGTATATTTTAAAAACTGATAAAATTAATCTTAAGAGCACTTAACCCTGCTGCTTTTCATTGGGGTAGGGTGGTTTTAAAGACCAGCAGACCAGTCTAGTTTTTAATATTCCCAGGTTTTCTGTTTTATTTGTTCAAAAGCTGTTCTTAAATAATAAGATGGGGGAAAGGAAAAGCAAATATAATACACATTTTCTGATAAGAACTGAGATTCTTTAGTAAACGTTCTCACAGTATTGCTAACGATTATATTTTGAAAGAAAGGGATCCAGCTAACTGAAATTGTACCATAAAAAATGCATTTAAGTATATGCGTGTCCTTGCTTAAAATTAGAAAGCTGTACTTAGAGAGCTAAATCTTTGTTTAACCAATTTTATGTAAAATCTATGGTGCATTTTAAAATGCATTTTTTTCTTAATCTGTGAAATCTGTTCATTGCTTATAAGATACTGTGTGGGGAAACCTATTAAATAAATACATAATTCTTTAGTATTGCATATAATTAATTATCCATGTCCATAAAAATCAATCTTTTACAAGTTAAGTTGTTCTGAAAGAACGCGAGTAAAGGTTTTATAATTTATCCATAGGTTATTGGAGTGGCATGGGATTAGCCTTAAAACTCCCAGTGAATTTGTGGGTGGAAGGAGGGACAGTAACATAACTGTGCTTTATTTTACACACACATCAGTGATACTGTTCACATATTAAGTCTTCTGCCAGTTAGGGCATAAGTCCCTACTGTGCCTTCTAGAAGACTGAATGCATATGTGTGAGCATTACAGAATTCCCAATGTTTTAACTTATGTCAAGAAAATATTCTGATTAATAAATAATAGTTACTCGTTTTATATTATGAGAATATTTTTTGCTAATGTTCTCCGGCATTACAAAAATGGGCATGTTTAATGAGATCAATCTTGTTTTCAGTCATCTTACATAAAATTGGAAACATAAACATTACTTGGATATAACAGAAATATGCAATGTGCAAAAACATGCCAGTGAGAAATGCTTTTACATTTCAAAAAGTTATTCCAGTTGAGAAGGAACAGTTTCTAACTATCTATTATTCCTGAAGAAGAGAGCAAAGTAATTGTACTGTAAACACAGAAAACACTGTCCTTGTCTCTTGCAGGTTGTGATACGATTACAGCTAACTTATTGTTGTTAAAAAGCTCTACTTTGCTGCCTTAGATGAAGAGCAGATCTTTCTCAAAGATATTGACTTACTTTTGAAAGGCACTGGGTCATACAAATACCAGTGTTTAGAAAGGTCCTCTTATTTTTCAAATGCCAGCAGCAAAGTAGTTAAGCATTACATGAATGGAAAGAAAAATGAACAGAAGAAACACCGTAGCTTGGTCTTTGTAATATTACCACAAATATTAGCCTGGTTCTCATAATATTACTGCAAATATAAGTAAAACACAGAAATCATGTGAAAGGAAGCCTCAGTCAGATTTCTTTTATAGTAATTTTGTAATACTTATGTTTTTGCAGGGGAAGTCCGTTTGACTCCAGAGGACTTTGCCAGAGCTCAAAAATATTGCAAATATGCTGGCAGTGCCTTGCAATATGAAGATGTGAGCACTGCTGTGCAGAATCTACAGAAGGCCCTCAAGTTACTGATTACGGGCAGAGAATGAAGCCTTTATCCAACAGATTCATGTCTTTTGCCTAAAGAACTAACAGCTTATTACTGTACCTGTTAGGGGAGTGGAGTTATACAGAAGTTCTCAATCCCATCACCCATGACAATGAAATCACTGTTTCAGTGTCAGATTAGCAATTAATGGTACAGTAGGAATCTCTGCTTTCATTTTACAAACAGTGGAGCTAGAAACATATGAACGCAGTGGCTTGATGTAAGCAAAATACTGAAGAAAGTACCGTGAACACTGCTCAAGGTGTTAGAATTCATCTTGCAATATTTAGATTATCAGAATGGGAAAATGCTGAATCTGTAAAAAACCTGAGCATAAGAATGTTCTGTTAGAATTCTTACTCTGATTTTATTATTTCAAATAATTATTTAATAAGTATAATAGCTTTAACATGGTAACTAAGATTAGCGCTTTCCTCCTGAAATGAGAACATGTGAGAAGGCTTGACAGATCCACAAGGGGAAGGACTTTTTTTCTATACATAAATTATTTGGGTATTATCTGAGACATAAGTCAAAGTTGAGGGAGACCTGAGGACATTTGTATTTCATTTTAAAACATGCTGGAAAAAACATTTCTTGATACTTCAGATAGAGTCGTTTTGATGGTGTTTCAACCTAATCCCCCACAACTGTACGGACTGTTACATGTATTCTTGATTATCGGTTCTTGCTCCTTTTGTGTGAAAACTTAAAATTTTGTATATGTATGGGTAATTAAGAGAAAGTACTAATATTAATCAGAGATGATCCTGAAACCGGAGGCAGAGATTCTAAACAGCATGAACTGTTAGGGAGATTTGCTTCGTAGCTGTTCCATCTTTTTAAGAGGCTGAAAAAAGGCCTGTTCTTCAGCCATTAAAGCAGTATAGGTTCATCTCTGGTATTAGTGTCATAGAGCTTCGTATTTCCAGCTAATACTCTTCCTGTCTGCTTTGTTGTGGAGACTTTTTGGACTTGGGATTTAATTAAAATATCTTGGAAACTGAATTTTGAGTCTTTATGAGGTCTGCCTTTGCAATTATAGAACTCTTGATTGTTAAAAATCCATCCATGCTGTTTAAAAGAAAGAGTAAGTAGTCTTTTAACTGACGTGACATAATAATTGAGTACACCATAAAGCATGTCTGATTTGTGTAATAATTTTAATGACATATTATCTGACCTGTCTTTCCTTCCAAACTGCCGGATCAAATCCACGTATTCTTTATAGTTGCTCTGTTTTGCAGTGACTAAAATAAGTCTGGTATTCAAAGCAAAAAGATGAGGAAAAGAAAATCAAACATAAGCATGCATTAAAGTTTAGCTGGTCATATCCTTTTAAGAGTGTAGAGTCTTTGATAGCAGGTTCGAAAAGGGTAGTATGAAACTTGTAAATGTATACTTAAACATTTTAGTTGACTGAGATTTAATAGATAAAATGTCTGGTATTGTTTGTGATGCTTTCTGATATGGGATAGCATGCTAATCTGGACAGTGATTTGGATTAGATTTTAATTGTTTTGGGAAATTTAGAATAAATCAATCTGAAACTTTTTTGACAGTAATGCTGTACAGACCTGGGCAATAAGCATGTGTTTTGTACAGTGATTCCTGCAAGATAGATCCCTCACTTCAGTATCAAACTGAATTACTGTAAATTATTCCATGTATATTATTGTGGTGCTACACTGTGATTGGAAAAGCTGCTTTTCAGTTGAAAGAAGGATGCAGAACATTGATCCATGTAGAAATATATATATTGCGTTGCTATAAAAAAAATCAGAAGTTGCTTTTCATTTGGGGATCATGCCGCTATTTACCAATAGCAGCTTCAGTCCCCAGCACTTGAAGGAGGAAAGTCAGTTTTCCTCTTTCTATTTACAAAAGCCCCAAAGTTCTTTTAATTATTTTATATCACATGGAATAATAAGCAAGCTATGATACAATACTGTATTAATTTGAGGCTTTTCAATTAGAACTGATTTTTTTGGGTGATTGAATGATATGAAAAGGAAGTACATAACTAAGAAGGTTGCAAACGAAAATTTAAGTATTTCTTAAAGTCTGTAAAAGATTGTCTGTTGTCCATGATTATGTTGAACCTCTAAGTTCCTATAGGAAACCAGGCAATCATCAGTGAAAAAGCGATAAGCAATGAAAAAGCCATAAGCAATTTTTTTTGAGTGATCATTTACAAATGTGTAACCACCTTCTGCCTAGAAAAAAATTAAGTGTCTCTGAGGGGAATGGAGATGAAAATGCTAATACAAAAGTTTAAGAATTTCTTAGAGAAGCTACCAGGACATTCTTTCTGAAAATAAATCAGTGTTTAGAAGATTTATCATATAAAATTCTCATGAATTCTGTAAAATTAAACATATCCTAATACCGACCTTCAGACCACAATACCTGAATTAGCACATCGAGTTCAATTTTGCATAAAATTATTTTGCTCCGATCATTTATTTTTTAATTGAGAAGTTTTGTAACAGCCCATCAGACCATGTTTGAAGCCACATCTTTAAGCCACATTTGATTCAACAGACTGAGTATTTATCATCGAAACTGATGCCTAAAGTAAATTATAGCAAAACATTTCCATTCCATTAAGTATAGCTTCTGGGACAGCTTTACGTGTGGCAGATAGCGCAAAAGTACAAACCAATGTTACAGAACAGTTCAAAAAGCGTACACATTTGAAAATGTCAGGAGAAAGTAGGTAGGTAGCCTGTAATTATTCCAAATTGGAATTTGTGGTAGGCACCGGCATTTATGGGCCCCATCGTTAAATATCATGTGAGCTTTAAGTGTTGACTGATTCATTTTACAGCCGCTCTGAATGATAAAGTATCAACCCATAGCTCCTTTTAAACCAATTCCCAACACGTACGAATACAGTATTAAATAAAGGAGAGTGGCATTTTTGTTGCATGCTGCAGCCGACAGCTCTCTCTTCTTCAGTATGATTGCAGCCCACATGCTTGTTGGCCTTCCTCCTTTGGATTGTGAGTTTGTCTTGCTTAAGAAAGGCGAAAGAAGCGTTTTCTGTCAGATATTCCATGTTCAGTTTTGCTACTTATGTAAGCTAGAATTTTAGTAAATCTGTTCAATGTTTGTTACTTAAAAGGCTTTTGGTATTACTTAATGTTTTTGCAGTTCTTTATACTTTCACCTCTCTGCAGGGCAAGTTCCATGTTATACTTCAGGATTCCTATGAAAGTCTTTGAGAAGTGTCTTGCAGAGCAGGTCATTGTTTATGAAATGGTGGAGATTTTTTCAAATGTGCACTAATTGGATTTACTAATACCGGAGGTGTTCTTTTTAAATTGTTGCAGTCATTTCAGGTGGAATTTTTAATGATGTCCTTTGTAAGTGACATTTCAGAAGCACAGACTTAAGTATGATCATATTCCAGAATGTGTTTCTAAGTGTAGTATTTGATGCTATATAATACTTACCTATGAGAAATTAACAACAGAGAAACTTACTGTCTGAAGTAGGATGGTGGGGTGTGCGGACACACGTGTCTGTGCATTTGTAATATAATGCATGTAAATTCAATGGTGGCCTATAAGAATGCCTTCCAAAAAACATAAGTACCTTGTTTACAAGTACTGGGAAAATGTCAGATACAAGTAAACAGATACTGTTGACAAATGGTGTTCTTAATTCTAAACTTTAAATGTACTAGCATAGTGCCAAAAGTTAGCTTTTAATTGTGCAGTATTCCAAATGGATGATCTTTGATTTTTCTCCTTTTTCATGTCAACAGTAAAATAGGAGCCTGGTACAAAAAGAATGAGAACACAAATTTAGAGGAAGTTAGATTTATGGAAGATCAAAGATAGTTTCTGGTATTGTAAAATCTTTGTGGTAATGTTCTGATTGAGATTGGAAAGTGCCCTTGCTTATAAAGTATAGTTCTTGCTTTCTTTTAAAATGTCCTTTGTTGTGTGGTTTATGGAATTGGAGCCTGAGCCTGGATATCTGGATTAGGAAAACCTAAAGTTTGATGCCAAGTTTCTAAACCACCAGTGCATTCTGATACTGACAGCAACTGTTCTTCACAATCACCTCAGAGTACCTATTTTTAAATGTTGGAATTTTAACCAAGTTTGTTGGGGAAAGGAGCAATGCTTTTCTTATTGCATCACCACCTTTCAGTGCACAGCTGTAGAGACAAGAACTGGAGAAAACATGAATTTGCGTTAGATATTTCACTATCAGCAAGAAAAGAATATTATGTTGCCAGCAGAGCTCTTTTTGGCTTACAAGAGTATTGGAACAGTCAGATCATAGAGATCGTCCTGAATGTAATGCCCTAAATGATCTCAGAATAGGAACTTTATAAATAAGAGCATTGAAAACAAACTTGAAAGAGAGTGGAGACGTATGCCAGGGGAGAAAAAGAAATCACATTCTCCACAGAATGGGAGGGGGCACAGAAATGATTGCAGAAGAAAATGGAAGAAATCCTTACAATGCCACATGGGATGGGAGCAGGGCAGTGACTGGAATGAGGTTAGAGTTGTTGGCTGGTTTCTGTAGAACCTTGAAAGAGATGAGAAAGAAACTTGAGCTTTAGACAAAAGATTACAGGAAGATAGGAGAGGTGGGGAGGAGCACAAGAATGACCACAGAAACCCACTTTTTTTTACCGCAAACTGGGAAAAATGTGAGTTGTAGCACAGGAGAAAGTTAACCTAGTTGAGGAAATGATAGCAGAGACTAAGTCTAGCTCTAAAGGGGAAGAAAAAAAAAATACAAGTTGACAGCATTCTGAAAATGGAGAGAAGTAGATCTTCTCATCCTTGGAACCTTTGCGTTCATTAAATATGTCATATTTATTAAATAATTAAAATTGGTTTGCTGTGGCCCTTTTGGAAAACTTGGGGAAACTGCATAAATAACTGCATGGTATCTGCAGAGAACTACAGAGATCCACGTTTGTCCTTAAAATGCTATCTCCTGATTTTGTGCTGTCCTCCCTGTTGTGATTTGCCTCCCCTTTTTCTCTGTCTGTATTTACTCTGTGGTGTTCCTGTAGGTAGAGGGGAGGTGGTTGTGGTTGAATACAATGCTAAGTATGAGTGATAGCCCACATTTTTAGACATTCTCGGGTGATTTGGGAAGATTAACAGGGTCTGGGTTTTACCTGGTGTGTGCTATGGAGAAAAATGTAGCGTTTGGAGTTCCCTCCTGAGCTTCAGAGGCTCTTTGGCAGCAGTAGGACTACAATATTTAAAGAAGGATATGTGGAAATTAACTCTGCTCAGAGCCATATTCTCGATCACAGCCCAACAAACTGATCTCTAGGAGCTTGGAGACCTCCAGCTAAGCAGTTGGTGAAGTTGTCAACTTTTACTTGCCTCAACCCATCTTAAAAATGGGCTGCTTTAGATTTAACACTTCTTAGTATAGTCAGGATTTTTGTAATCCTGACAAGTAATGACAAGACAAGGGTTGATTTTGGTAACAAGTTCCCAAAATAGAGTTTTTAGGAGAGGCAGAGAAGGCTTTAACAAGTAATGAGAAGATGTATAATGAGAGCGGAAGGAATAGAAAAAAACTTGATAGGATAATTTAGGGGACAATGGGCAGGAATGAGGAGATCTGAGATACGGAGACAATGTAGTTGTAAGTCATGGGCAGCAATTTATAGACTAGTAATACCTAATGCAAATCTTAAAATGTTGGTTTTATCAGAGGACCAACATAACCTCCATTCTACAATACTGAAATAAGTACTTTTAATGGATCTATAAGTTCACAGTATTTTACAGCAGAAGAACAGCAAATAAAGCAATTGTATTAAAAAAAAAAAGTTGCGATCAACTTCAGACGTGTTAGTTTAACCACAAGATTAAGCAAAAGCTTACTTCAGATTGTGAACAAGACTTGAAGTTCAAACATGGGTATGATAGCATATAGTATGTTTTCTCCTAGCCCTTTCATTCTGCCCCTCACCCTGGGTGGTTTGGGACACTGTTTTTAGATGTTTTTAAACTGACACAAGTTTTTAGAAAATGAATATGATTAATTTAATTTACTTAAAATGAAGTAATGCTTGACATAAGGCTCTAAAAATACTTAGGTGGAAATAGATTAACATGACAATTGAAAGATGGATTAAAGCTGGTGGAAAAAGAGATTGCAGTAAATTCTAAATTATTTCCAGGATGGAAACTGAGAGAGATCAGCCTAGGGGGACATCCTGTTTCATACATCAGTGACTTAAGTTGAGGTCACCATCTAAGTCACATGTAATTTGTGGATGAGATGAAGTTGGGAGGTATTGCAAGTACTGCAGAGAACTGGGAAAAATTCTGAGACTTTGACTGAAGGACTAAAATGGAGTGAAACTGAAAGCACAAAATACAAAGTCACTCACTTGGGTTCTAACAAGAATATTTTTTAAATAAAAATTAGGATACTGGAAGCTGAAGTAATTCTGATCAGCGTCACCTAGTTCAGCGGGCTAATGCGAATTTAGGATGTATTGAATGAGATTGTTTCAGTACAGAGAGTAAGTACGCTGTCACAATAGCGGGTTTGATTCTGATTGTTGGTGAAAGTTATTTACTAGTAAGAGATGCAAAGAAGGGCTACTGAGATGATGAAAATCTTATCTATTGAAAAAAGATTGTCTAGTTATGGAATGGCTTTCTTAAGGCATTAGGGACAAAGCATTAATTTGTTTTAAGACATCTTGATAAATTTATGGATTGGATTGGATTGCAAGATTGAAGTGGGTCTAGAGTAAAAATTTCAGTTAGTCAGTGAGCTTTTGGGAGGGTTTTTCTGGCTTCTGCTCAACGTTGAGTAATGGTCCCTCTCCCAAAATACCTGGAAATGTTACTGTAAAAAAAGGTATTGCAGGACCTGAGACATTGTGATGACCTGATTTCTCCCAGTGTCTTTCAGTGACACATCATTTTGTCTTTATTAGGTCTAATGTTTGTTATGATGCATTGTAAGCATTTTGTGAATAATAGTGAGTGTGGGGCAGAATGAAGAGATTTTTATGCAGTGTGTGAATTCAATACTTGGTGTATGTTTGCTTGTGACTGTGGAAGAATATCCACAGTCTGCATGTTTCTGAATGCAGACAGCTTTTAAACTTGCAATATGAAAAGCTTATCAAAGATTCAGATGTATAGCATATTGTCAGGATATGGCACTGCTCAAAATAGAGGCCATATCTCTTGGTGTGAATACAGCTTTGCAGGAACTAGCCCATACTGAAATCCCTGTAAGCTGTTGTAGAAAACAGCAAATATTTCTTTTGTGCTGAAGGTAATCAAGTGTATCAGCACAGTCTTGGGAAAAATACTTTATTCAGTGTAGATATTAAATCTGTATTTGTAAAACAGGCATGCAGGTACTCACGACCACTGCACTTCAGCTCAGCAGCCCTTTGATAATAGAAGCTTTACACACATCTGGTCTTTATCCTACACTTACTTGCCTGAGTGACTTCACCCATGTGAATGGTTCTATTGAGGCAATAAGAGTACTCGTGTACATTAAGTGTTTGCTGTGTTCGGGTAGAAAGCTTTGCTTGTTGTTCAGTAAAATATAGCTAGAACAATGGCAATGGCTTTAATGGATCCAAGTGTGGTATGCTGTTAGTTCTCTGGTGTGGGGGGTCTAATCTTATAGTCTTTATACTGACAGATTTTGAGACAGAAGTCTTGACTTTTTTCCATTTATGTTTTGTGTTGGGAAATGCTGAGGTTTTATTTGTACTTTATACAAAATAATAATGATAAACCTTACTGAACCTAATTGCACTAGACTTGCAGAAAAGGACAGTACTCCTTTGAAGGTTCTATCAGTATATTTTATGGTACAGATACATCTAAACATAGCTCCTATTAGCTAAGAAATTTTTATTCTCAGCAACACCTGCAGGAACGTGCACAAGCCCCACAGTACAGGCCCTGCCGCGTATACTGCAGGTGGTCATGAAAGAGGGCAACTTCTTGTCCACTCTTAACCACCTACCGCAATCAGAACATTCAGCTCTCTTTCGAAGAGGGCATTATGAACGCTGTTGAAGCTTTCTTCCCCTTACCTCACAGCTTTAGATGATATACATATGTCAGGTTTTAGATGATCACAGAGGCGATCAG